TTATTATTATTATTATTATTATTATTCAGTCTTGCTTGTCATCTTAACTCATGAATGTGTTGATTTGTGCATATGGTACTTCAGGTTTAGAGCAGTGGGAGGGGAAAACTTAAATACAACAGAACCTAGGGGAGACTCTTAAACATCGTTTGATTAATTTAGATTATTTTATGTCTTTTTGTCTCAGTAAAATCAGCTCTTTGAATTATTTGTTGTGTAATAAAGCACTTGATTTTTCAACATTAGGTAGTAATGCTATATATTGAAGCCGTTAGCAGACCCAGAGCCATCAAAAACGCATTCCCATGGGTGGTTGTGCTGGAAAATAGAGCAGCGCTGCTTCTTGGTGCCCCTCTGCCCTCTTATGATACACACTTTCTGCATGCAAACTGCTAAGCTATCTAAGCTGACATAGTGCTATAGTTTTCAGAGGATAAGCCAAAGAGATCCTTTGTGTTCCTCTGAGGCTCCTGCAAAGAGCAGAGAATCTCTGAGGCTGGTGGCTGCTGCTTTTTTCCTTGTTTGTGCTGGGTGAAAATAACTTGGAGTGAGCTACGCTCTGCCATCTGCTGCTTCCAAGGGGTGACCAGGAGGGCGCCTTGGCAATGAGGAATCTCCAGGCCCCCCTCTTCTGCCAGAAGCTGAGCATAACACTCCTCTAGCTTTTGCCAGCTGGTGGGACTCTCTTGCAATCTGTGGGATACCTTTCAGTCCCTGCCTTTCTTTCTCTAATCCAGTAGGTTTGCTCATCACCAAAACACCATGTCCCTCAAAAGAAGTTTAATTCTCTCCAGTAGACATGGTATACGGCGGAAGCTGATAAAACAACTTGGGGAGCACAAGCGAGTGTATCAGTGCAGTATCTGCAGTAAGATCTTCCAGAACAGCAGCAATCTCAGCAGGCACATCCGTTCTCACGGTGGGTTTGCTTCTGCCTCGCTTGAATATTGATTTTGTCACTCGTTGGTTCATTGCACCTTTGAGTAAAAGAGCTAGGCTATTTTTAGAGACTAGGATACATAATTTTAAGGGAGCTCTTTTTTCCTTCTGTTTTTCGGACTCTCTCTAGGAGACTCTTATAGTTAGGCAGACGAAAGCAGGAGAAGCTAATAGTTGAAAGTTGAAGTTACAGTATTTAAAATTTTAATTTAGGTACATACTTTAAAGAAGGGCAAGGATGTGATGTTTTTCCCAAACTATTCTTGCCTTTAAATATATACGTCACCTCTGCTTCACAGGCAGATGGGTGACATTGCTGCATAAATGTCATCTGAGTGGTTTTTTGCTTGTGATCTGCAGTTCCAGAATCTGTAATATACTTCTACGGATTCCATGAAAAATAATCACTGAAAAAGGATGGGAGAAAACAAAATTATTGTTCAAAATTGTTGGAAATGGTTAAAATCCTCTATTTGGATCCCCAGAACTACTGAAGCTTCTCATCCCTAGCCCGTCTGTTTGCAGTTGTTTGTGCTTTGATTTCCTCTGTCTTGCCTGGATTTGATTATTGTCAGTCGCTGACTACTTTCTTTTTTTTTTTTTTATCTTGATTGATCCCCTCAGGTGACAAACTATTTAAATGTGAGGAATGCGCAAAGCTGTTCAGCCGTAAAGAGAGCTTGAAGCAGCATGTTTCATACAAGCATGAAGTGAGTGGAAATGACTAGTGGGCTGTTTCTGACGTTAGGTGAAAATGTACAGCAAGCTTCCAGATGCTAGCTGGGGAGCTTGGGTCAATTTTATTTGAGTGGATATCGGTGTGAATAAGTGAGACCAGACTGACAAGGAGAGGTAGCATCTTCTGTTAGAGCAGCTGATGCATTTGGGAAGTGTGGACACGCTTTTGAGCATACAGATCCTTTTTTTGTGTCCAAATTTCCTATAGAAAGTTTTTTGTAGACATCAATTACAACAAGACAAGCTGGACCTGCATGATCTAGAGGTGAGATCTGACTTCGGTTTATGGTACTAAATGGGATTGTTCTGGTCTTGCTTGCTCGTGCTATTTCATTTATCCCCACCTATAGCATCATTCAGTGCATGCTGTGTCATTAGGGGCACACGTGTAAATGTTCAGTGTTTACCAGGGCAGCACCATGCCTGTTGATGAGGGCCTTTCAGTGCTGCTGCTGTATAAATATTAAACATGCCTGTAGTGGGGCCTTCCCTGTGAATATTTCCAGTGCTGCTTGGCATCAAGGTTCTAAGCTCTGAATTTTTTTTGTGTAGAGCTGAGATGTAGGAACATAGCAGGACGGTAGAGCATCAGAGTTTTGCGTCAGTGTGTATTTAGATGTCCTGTTGAAGGAAGAAAAATTGGAAAAGACAGAAACAGAAAAAGGAGTTGAGATTTCGAATTTCTCTGTCAGACGTGACTTGGCTTTTCCCCTCTTGAACACTTACTGTTTGCAATCCTCAGGTTGACAGTGAGTACCGATACAAGTGCACCACATGTGAAAAGGCCTTCCGGATAGAGAGTGCATTGGAATTTCATAACTGCAGGACAGGTGAGAATGCAAAGTGTTCTGCTTCCTGTTGTCTCTACTCTGTTTTGTGGGGGTGTCCACAAGTCCATCTCAGCATAGTGACTACAAAAGGGGAGCAAGGATTTAGGATTTTTTTTAATCGCAACAAGCCACCTGCCCCTCTTCTTCCCTCCTTCCTTCATTGCTGTGATAAGAAAAGTATAGCCAGTAATCTGCATAGGCACACATCCACGTATATATTGCTTTTTTCAGTATTGCCTGCCCATGACAGGGAGGTTGAATTAAATGATCTCTAAGGTCCTTTCCAGCCTAGGCCATTCTATGATTTCTATGATCTGTCTAGTATCCCCACTGATATTTCGTTTCTATGTTCACAGATACCTTGTGAACTTGACTTTCTTTCCTGAAAATTAAGTTTCACCTAATTTCTCTGAACTGTGAAGGGGGACAGTTTTCTTCTGCTTTCTCATGCTTTCTCTTTTTAGACTTGCATAGTCTTTGTAGGCATTTTTTTCTTGGCATCACTAGAACCTGTCCTTTTTTCCCATAGCCATCGCTTGTGGTTGCCCATGTTATTTATGCTGAGAGATCTTATGCTTAGAAAATGACATTGTGACTACTTTTATGGACCCATGATAACTGTCAGTCCAGAATTACCTAGATAATTGCCCATTATAGCACCATTCAAAGTAGGTTTTCACATTTCATTTCAGAGGGTAAAGGTTGCATAGAAACTCAGTCTTACTAACAATGGGAAGTACTGCCAAATGACCTCAGTACTCTGTTTATTCAGACAGCCACTCGTTTCTCTGAGCTGACTTTTACCAAAATGAGCAGCAGTTTTTGCTCTACTCCTTAATGTGTCCGACTGTGACTACTTTGTAATTGCTGTAGCATTGGCAGATTCCATCTACAGGACCATGCTTTCATGTTCTAACAAAAGTCTCAACTACTGAAGATGTAAGAAGTTCCCGATAGGCCCACTATCATGTAATGGTCTGTGGAGTTAGTACTTTCTGATAGGAAATTCAGTACTGGCAGGTATTAGACTTAGACACAGCTGTGTGTGTGACATTGTGTTGTTGTATGTGCAGTAGTTTTATCAAGATTAAAAAATTGAATCAACTGTGACAGAATCCACTCCAAATATAATTTTAACGTGTGCTAGACCACAGTGGAAATAGCCCGTGTGAGGAAGTTGTGATTGTGAAGAGTCATTGTTCAAGCTGGCATCATATTTATTTATTGCTTTGAGAGAAATGTCCTCCAGTGCATTCCAGTGATATTTAAACTTTTAGGTAGCAAAAATAAATCCAATAGATTGTTTATTATCTTTTTAATGGGAAGACAGATTTTCAAGTAGAAGAAAAATACATGCTTTTGCATTTCTCTCCTCAGTCCAGATAACGATGGATTGTATGTTAAAACTAAGGTCTCACAAAAGAACTGCTTATCCCACAAATATACAGAACCTCCTTTCATCCGTAAAGAGCTGCGTGGTTTCTCTTGCTTACAGATGACAAGACATTCCAGTGTGAGATGTGTTTCAGATTCTTTTCTACAAACAGTAATCTTTCAAAACACAAGAAAAAGCACGGAGATAAGAAGTTTGCATGTGAAATCTGCAATAAGATGTTCTACCGAAAAGACGTCATGCTAGACCATCAGAGACGACACTTGGAAGGTAAGTATACTGCAGATGAACCTAATTATTACTCTTAAAACAGGAGTAGAGGTGAGAAGGTTAAGGAAATGATTGTGCATTAGATTCCTCTGGATAGTAGCTGTCGTTTTCTTGTCAGTTACCTGATCTAGAGTAGTAAGTTTCAGCAAAATGTGATATTTATTAAAAGTAGTAGTAATGAATACTGGAGAGGAGTTGTCTAATTCTATGAAAAACTTTCTAGGAGGTGCACTTTTTTTTTTTCAGCCTTGTGTGATTGGATCCAGTGCTACTAACAGTCATGTGAAAGTTACTTGACTTATTATGCAGTAGTTTAGACTAGCTAATTTTAATTATATCTTTTTCTTTCTTTGAACTCTGTTCTTTCTTCTTTTTTTTTAAAATGTGTAGTCACTTGAAGATTTGACTTTCATTGTACAAATGAAAGTGACTGCTGTATAAGTATAGTATAAATGGAATGCTGTGTGATGTTATCTTTCAAAACCTTGAGAATATATAAAGATGAGATTAGAAGAGTTTACTGTTCAAAATCTGGAGCATCTAAGGATGTTATAAGTACTCAAAGACTCTGGAAAAACTTGTGTGATGGTAGATTGCTGAAATCTGTATTAAAATGCCTCTAGTGATCTAAATTATAAGAGCAAAGTGATTTTAAAAAAGCAGCCAGATTATCTAATTTGGTGCTCTAGGCATAACCACCCATCATCTGGCTGCTCTTGTGATTCAGACCTTTGTGTGAAGAATTAGAGGACAGCTTGGAGGACAAGGGGTTGAATGGCAAAGACATGTCATGTGTAGCTGTCACAGAACAGCAGCAGCATTCTTCCCTCCTGAAAGTGGCAGAGAAAGAGGTCTGAAATCCTTACTGAGCGTTAAAGATGATGCTGGATGGTTCCCTCTTGCCTGTGAGGGGGAATTTCTGGTCCAGATATCTGATCAAAGTGCCAAGGCCACCTAGATCTGCCTGTTTCCTGGTGTTGACAGTAAATGTCTGTTTTCAGACACTTGATGTAATAATACACTTGGTGTAATAACCAGTCAGCCACAATACATCACTTTGACAGACTGCTTTTATGTTCTTAAGACACCATTTAAATTTAGGAATTATCCTTTTGTTAGCAGTTAAATTCTGCATCGAGGCTCTTCCCGCTCTTCTTTACAGTATTCACCTGAAAAGGCATGCAGATTGGAGTGGAAAACCATGGTTTATTCTTGTGTTTTGTTTTTTTGATGGGGACTGTTCTGTTAAGGGGTGAGGCGTGTGAAAAGAGAAGACTTTGAGCACAGCACTGAAAACATGGTCCGCTACAAGAAGGAGCCTTCGGGATGCCCCGTGTGTGGGAAGGTAGGTGTCTGCCAGCTTGTGCCATGTGAAGCTCTGCGTTGTAGCTCCAAAGATACCCCAGGAGTACCCAGCACCTATAAATGAGTTACTGTGGCATAACAAGCTACTGCCTGTGTATTAAACCACAGTAGCAGCTTACCTGATGAGGCACACAGCCTGCCAAAAGGTTGAGGTAAATGACTTGCACTTCGCAACTCGGACAGACACATGCTTAGCCAGCAAGGCTAAGGTGTTACTTTTTAAACTGTCTCAGCTCCGTTATATATCCAAGCACACTGCAGCCGTGGATGGTGGGAGCTTTAGGCCAAAGATAAGAAAAAAACTGAGGTTCAGACTAGACTTTTTCAGGACGGGTAGCACGGTGTGGAGCATAACTACACTGTGTCTGTCAGTGAAATTTCATGGCATATGTTATTTAGAGTGAAGAATGGACTTGACTCTGCAGCTGGACTTGACTTTGTGCATTGGGTGTCCTTTCCTGTTTGAAATCAAAGTGAATTCATGGAGTAGTCATGGTGCTATTGCATTTGGGTGTTTAACGCTCACAATCTTATGTACCTGTTGTCACAGGTACAAAGATTGTGGGTTTAGCTAGTGATTTAATAAATGTTTAATGATTCATAGTGCAAGATGTACTCAAGCAACTCTTTAAGTTGGTGTGTAGACCTTTGGTTTTGATGCTTTGGATATGTTATATGTCAAGGTAGATTTTATGGATGTGTCTTTTCATAGATAGCAGGAACATTCATGATTCAACAGACATCGCCTAGATATTTCTAAACCTACCCTATGTAATTCTGCTGCAGCTGTTTTGGAAGTCCATCTCTGATGAACAGCCGATTTCAGTCAGTTCCTTGGAACTATACAGCTGTATTTTACTGTGTCAGCAATTTCCAAGGCAGCTTGCTAGCCAGATAACAGGAACTCCTACATGTTTCTGGCCAGAATGAATAAAACAGAACAGTAAATATATTCTGTGCTATCAGTTGGATAACTTGCGAAGAGCTGTAGCCTTGCTCGACATGATACAAAACCACTTCCATCTTTCTTCTTTTCTTTTAGGTATTTTCGTGTAGGAGCAATATGAATAAACACCTTTTAACACACGGAGACAAGAAATACACTTGTGAAATCTGTGGACGTAAATTTTTCAGGGTGGATGTGTTGAGAGATCATATTCATGTCCATTTTAAGGTATTGTGTTAATAATTTACTAGAAGAGGCATGTTACCTAGGAGACATGGAGATATATCAATAAATATGTTGAGACAGTTATGGCTGTGTGTTCATACTGGCAACACAACCAGTGATAAAGTGATAATCATAGAATAGTAGAATGGTTTGGGTTGGAAAGGACCTCAGAGATCATCCAGTTCCAACCCCCCTGACATAGCAGCGACATCTCCCACTAGATCAGGTTGCTCAAGGCTCCATCCGACCTGGCCTTGAACACTTCCAGGGATGGGGAATCCACAGCTTCTCTGGGCGACCTGTGCCAGTGTCTCACCACTCTCAGGGTAAAGAACTTCTTCCTTATATCCAGTGTAAACCTA